CATCCCCAGTCCTTTTTATGTTTTATTTTGAGAGAGGCTCTTCCTAAGTTGCTTAGGGCCTCACTAAGTTGCTGAGGCTGGCTTTGAACTTGTAATCCTCCTGCTTCAGCCTCCCAAGATGCTGGGATTACAGATGTGCGCCACCATGTCCAGCTCATATTTCTAATTATTTTTTTCTTTTCTTGACCTTTATTTTTTTTAATTTATTTTTATGTGGTGCTGAGAATCGAACCCTGCCTCATACGTATGAGGAAAGCACTCTGACACTGAGCTACAATCCCAGCCCCTCATATCTCTAATTCTGATGCCATTATTTCTCAAACTACAGGCCTGGGTCTCCATGGAATCACCCAGGTACCTGTTGATAAAGCAAAATCCCAAGCCACCAAGTAGACCTGATGAAACTCAAGGCAGAGAGTCTGTGTTCTATAAGCTTCTCAGTGGCTCTTTGCAAAAAGGATGGTTTTTTTTTTTTTTTTTTTGAGTTTGTTTGTTTGTTTTTGTTTTTGTCATGCTGGGGATCAAACCCAGGGACTTGTGTATTCGAGGCAAGCACTGTACCACCTGAGCTGCATCCCCAGCCCTGGAAAAAGGGTAGTTTTATCTTATTTTGTAAATAAACTGAAGGCCAGGATAATCTGCCCAGGGTATACAATAAATAAAGGAATAAGTTTTCAACCCTGGTCTGCCTGACTCCAGAGCCCATGCACACACTACACCATTTGTGGCAAAGAAGAGAGGGTAGTGTGGAATACCTTGTGTGTGTGGTATGTAGGCCTGGGCAACTTTTTATGTAGTTTACTTCTTTCTGATAACTTTCACATGTATTTTTAAAATATTGCATATAAGAAGTCACCCAAAAGAAATGGTTAGTATAGTGGTTGTTACGTTGTGACAGGTATTAGAATCACTTAGAGCAGGAGTTGTGGTAAAATTGGTCTGTGTGGGGCCAGATCGTATATACTGTAGACTTCTTGGGCCATACAGTCTGTTTTAACAGTACTAAATTCAGCTATTACCACATTAGAGCAGCCACAGGCAACTTATAAACAAATGGATATGGCTGTGTTCCAAAATTTTATTTCCAGAAATAGATTATAGGATTTGATTACAGACTATAGTTTGCCAACCACTGGTTTAGAGAAAGGGTCTGTGAATATCTATTAGATGCTGGCTATGTGTTGTGGACACTAGGAGTGCATATGAAAATAAAAAAAAGAGCCAGTGAGGGTGGCACACACCTGACATCCCATTTACTTGGGGGCTGAGGCAGGAGGATCACAAGCGCAAAACCCCATAGAAAAATAAAAAAATAAAAGGGCTAGGGATGTAGCTAGTGGTAAAATACCACTAGGTTCAATTCCCATTACCAAAAGAACAAGAAAAAAAAACAAGACTCCTGCCCTTGTGGAGCTAGCCCCTCTATTATTAGACAATAAGCATAGTGTGTCTGATAATGTTTTAGAAAATTACAAAAAAAAAAAAAAAACACCTGAAAAAACAACAAAAGAGCATAATGAGAGAGATGGGTTGAAAAATATGCCAGTCAAGGTAGGCCACCTGTAGAAGGTAAGACATGAAAAGAGGTGTAAAGTGGGTGGGGAAGTTGGCTGTATATAGGTATCTGAAGAGGAGTATAGTACAAGGGACAGTCACTTAAAGGCCCTAAGGTGGGGATGACCCTGGTGTGTCAGGAGGAGTCAGGTCAGCTGAGTAGAACTGAAGGAAGAAGGAGAAAGACACACATTGTTTCTTCTGGTAGATTTCTGTGGCTCCCTGGAAGCCTGTGGGCCAAAGTGCTTCTCCACTCTTTAGTAACCTGCTTTTTTTTTTTTTTTTTTTTTTTTTTTTTTAGTTGTAGATGGATATATAATAGCTTTATTTTACTCATTTATTTTTATTTGGTGCTGAAGTTCGAACCCACTGCCTCACATGTGCTAGGAAAGCACTCTACCATTGAGCTATAATCTGATCCCCTAGTAATTAGCTTTTTCTCAAGAGTTTTAAGAATGTTTTGTCATGTGTATAAAATTCTTCAGCCTAACCTTGGCTTTTAACCATATCATTTTCCAACATGTATCTATACCATTTCTTTTTCTTTCTCTTTCTTCTTTTTCTGGTACTGGGGCTTGAACTTGGAGACACTTTACCACTGAGTTATATCCCAGCCCTTTTTATTTTTTATTTCGAGAAAGGGTCTTGCTAAGTTGTTAAGGCCTGAGGCTGGCCTAAAACCTGTGATCCTCCTGCCTCAGCTTCCTGAGTTGCTGGGATTACAGATATGCGCTACCACACCTGGCTATTTTTCTAATTCTCTGTTAGTGGACTTTTAGATTGTTTCTAAGTTTTCATCACTATACAACAGTACTATAATGTACATCCTTTTGGCTAAACTTTTTACTGAATCCAGGATTTTTCCTGATTCCTAAAAGTCAGATTGCTGAGCCAACGTGAAAGTAGATTGTAAAGGTTTGTATTGTGTATTGCCAACCTTTTTAAAGATTGCCATCACACCCAGCTAAACCTCATTAGGTACCCACCTCCCCCCCCACTTCTGCCTTTCACACTGTCCCTCCTGGTTCCAGGCTCAAGCACAGACATCAGTGAGGATTGGGAGAAGGACTTTGACTTGGACATGACCGAAGAAGAAGTGCAAATGGCACTTTCCAAAGTGGATGCCTCCGGTGAGGTGAGTGGGTGTGATTGGCCACAGGCAAGCCAGCCTAGTGATATCAGGGTCTGAGAACTCTCCTCATCAACTCCCTGTACTGTCAAAGTAGATTCCTGGACCTAGCTGAGGTGGCAGGCTATAGGAAGAGAGCTGGGACCTCCCACTCAGGTCCATGACGATCAGGTTCTGCTTCCCATCAGTTTTAGGGTGGACGGAGGGAGAGTTCTTAACCATTGCTCTGAATCACACTCACCTAAGGAACTAGAAAAAATGTGGGCAGATTAGAAAGACATATGAAGGCTTTGATTTTTCATGTTGGGAAACTGAAGCCTCAGGGCAGGTAGTAACCTATTTAAGAATATTTTGCACCTGTTGACTTCTCTATACTTAGGACATAGAAGGCCCATGGTACCCTGTAATGCCACGGAGACTTACTAGCTTTTTTGTGTTTTCACGGTCTTCTTTAAAACCTGACATGCAGGCTGGGCATGGTGGCACATTTCTGTAATCCCATTGGGTGGGGGAGGCTGAGGCAGGAGGATTGCAAGTTCAAAGCCAGCCTCAGCAACTTAACAAGGCTCTAAGTAACTTAGTGAGACCCTGCCCCTAAATAAAAACTAAATAGGGCTGGTGATGTGGCTCAGTGTTTAAGTGACCCTGGGTTCAATCCCTGATACCAAAAAAATAAAACCTGACAGGTAGCCTGGACATGATGGCACATTCCTATAATCCCATCTACTCAGGAGACTGAGGCAGAAGAATCACAAGACCCTTTCTCAAAAATACATTTTTTTCTGGGTGCAGTGGTACACACCTGTAGTCCCAATGACTCTGGAGCTGAGGCAGGAGGATCACAAGTTTGAGGCCAGCTTTAGCAACTTAGCAAGGCCTTAAACAACTTTAATGAAACCCTTTATGAAAATAAAAAATAAAAAGGGCTACGGATATGGCTTAGTGGTAAAGTACCTCTGGGTTCAATTCCAGTACCAAGGAAAAAAAAAGAACTGGGGATAAGTTCAGTGGCAGAGCACCACTGGGCTCAATCCCCAGTACTGTGAGAAAAAAAAAAAAATCCTGACCTGCAGCTTTGAGAAGAGTCATTCTATAAAGCCATCATTTCAGACAGCAGGTAACAGTAGGCCTAAGAGCAACAAGGCAAGAGAAAGTTCCCTGGGGAGACTTGAGCTGGGAGTTAGGGTGCTGAGTCCTTGGTGAAGATCTCCTGAGCACCTATAATCCACTGCTACCCTGCTTTCAGTCACAGGACCACTCTGAAGTTTTCTGCCTTTCCAAGGCATGGCCTTAATTAAGCTCATAGGAGACAAGGTTTCCTTAAGGGGTGGGCTTACTGGTTTCTTAGGCAAGGTGCACCCCTTCAGTGTCCTCCATTGACTATGGTGGAAGCATTTCTGATGGGTCTGAAACAATCCGAGCAGCAGGCCTGTCCCTCAGGCAGAAGGCAGCTCTTCTGCCCAGACATATCCCAACTTATTCCTTAAGACTAAGGGTTCACTCTTACAGGATCAGGGTATGGCCCAGGGTTGGGATAGAGGGCAGCCTTCCAGAAATGGAGGCAGCTTTGCTCAGCAGGAGTCTGGGCTTGACAAAAAGGAGTAAATGTATGTTTGTGCTCTTCATTATTCCCTCCCATTTGCAGCTAGAAGATGTAGAGTGGGAGGACTGGGAATGAGGGGAATCAGAGCACACAGCTCCCCCACTCACGGCACCTCCTACCTCCCTCGCTCATCTCAGCCCAGCCCTGGATGACACTGACTGAGAATGTCCCCCAAATGGCCTTTGCCATCCAGACCTCTGGTGGCTCCCTGCTGGTCCTTTGAGCCTCTGCTCACACCTGGGAAGGGGCTGTCTAAATCCACGCCCAGGACTCTGACTCCTGCCAACTTTAGGATAACCTAAGGGGAGGACACCACCCTCACCGGAGAGCCTACATTTCCCTGCTGAACACTCACTGCTCCTGGGGCCTCCTGCTGGGAAGCCCCAAGGGGCAGCTCCAACCCTTCTGTGAGCTGACAAGCCGAAGCTGAACCACCAGTCTCTGGGAGGAAGCCACAAGAGCACATGCTGTCCACCCACAAGCAGACAAGGAAGGCAGTGCCACCTGCCCTTGGCTAAACAGGGACAGCAAGCACATGTTGGTTCCTATGCCAGTGGATAAAAGGCACTCATCTATGAGAAATTTGCCTATCTTGGGAATCTTCCCCTCCCAGGCATTTTCCATTCCTGGAAAGGTTCCTTGGGATTCAGAATCTAGAAACCAAACCCTAACCCACCTCCTTCCTTTCCTCCAGACCCCACTGGGATGTCCCTGTTTTTTCCCAGGGCGGCTTCATGTCAAATGCACCCAAGTCCTTAGCCCAGCTGTGCCAATGCAAGGGTCCACTCTTGCATTTCCTCCTCTCCTCAAGAAGGGAGGGGGCCACTTCAGGCCCCTCTGTGCATTGCCTGGCAGGACACCTGGTCCAAGCAGCTACCCACCTCGACTTCCCTGTAGCTTAGGACACAAGCCAACTACCAGCGGTACAGAGCAGTGAACACAGGTGAGGTAAGACCAGCTTCTCCCGCCTCAGCCCTCTGCTTCCAAAGGGATGTGCCGGGGCAAATGTCCTGAGATTCCCTGGGTTTCTGCAGAGGCTCTCCTGGAAGACAGAGCCAACCTGTGGCTCCCACCCTCCACTTTGGTGAAGCCACATCTCTTATGGGGTAGTGAGGGCTGCAGGGATTCCTGGAGACCCTGGTGCTTCACGATGCAGCTCTCGTGATTCTTGTACATAAGCTGGTGTGTCCACCAGTGATTTAAAGGGATTGTGGTCAGGGATGCCAAGAGTGGGGCACTGTGCATCAAATGTTGAGTGAGGGGGTGGGATGAAGAGAATACTGATTCTTTTTTTTTTTTTTTTTGATGGGATGGGGTTTTTTCTCTTTGTAATTATTTCTTTAGTTTAATTAACCCTTTGGTTGTTTGTGCAATATTATATATTTTAAATTATAATGCATCTCCCCAGAGTATTTTGTAGCCAGGAAAAGAAAAAAGGAAAAAAAAAAGAAAAAAAAAAGATTCTAACAGCTGTTAGTTTTGTAATTAAAAAGGAAAGAAAAAAGAACTTTGTCCTGAACCTTTTACAGAATTGCCGTTAACAGCATTAAAGAAATTCAACAGAAGCCAGAAGGTGTCTGGGGATCTGTTTCTGTCCCCCAAGGCAGCTGCACTGGAGCCCAGGCAGGACCCACACACTGCAGAGTGGCTTCCTGCTTGAAGCTGAGACAGAGGCATTGGGGGTTTGGTCTGGGTCCTAAGGAAATTAATCCCTTGACCCCATGTCAGACTTAGCTTGGTCTCTGGGATGAAGAAGGGATGGGGCCCCGACTGGCTTCTCACCAAGACAAGGAGCCAGGAGGCCATTTCTGCATTCCCAACGCTTCTGCTTTTATTTGGAAAGGAAGTTGCAGCAACAGTGGTTCCAATCGCTCTTGTCATTTTTTTTTTTCCTCTCCTCTCCTCCCCCTGTGTTTGGATGATTCTGGGGTCTAATTTAATTAACTTTGGTTAAACACCTGTATGAAAATCACTTGTCAGCCATAACAAAAGGGAATGAGGCCTTGGTTCCTTGGCCCTTATGAGGGAAAGAGTCGTCTAGGGAGGGTGTAGGTAAGCTTTAGTATAACTAAACAAAGTGTAAAATATATATCACCATTTTAGAAGCGGGTTTTGGATTTGCTTTCTCCCCCTACTTTATTGGGGAGGACTTGCCATTGCTTTTATCAAGTGCTTGCTAGCCATGGGTGCCAACTAACTTCTTCGATTGAAGGCCGGAGGATCATGTCTGGTTCCAGGAGCCGCTTGAGCAGGTCCTGGCATTCGGTCGAGATGCCCAGATGAGTGGGGAAGGACACCCCCTTCTGCTGCTGCCACAGCATCTTGGGGATGTCTGTGTCATCAAAAGGTAGGCTGGCACAGAGCATGACGTAGAGAACCACGCCCATGCTCCAGATGTCACCCTTCTTGCTGTCGTGGGGAATACCCTGCAGCACCTCAGGGGCGGCATAGGCTGTACTGCCGCAGAAGGTCTGGCTCAGCTCCCGGCGTGACTTGGGTAATACCTTGGCAAAGCCAAAGTCGGTCAGCTTGAGGTTGAAGCCCTGCAACAAGGCGTTCTCACATTTGAGGTCCCGGTGGGCCACACCACAGCCATGGCAGTAGCGGATGGCCTCGACCATCTGGCGGAAGAGGGCCTTGGCCCTGCTCTCAGGCAGTGGCCCCCCATTCAGCACGCAGTCAAAGACATCCCCTCCCTCAGCCAGTTCCATCACCAGGTAGATTTTCCCATCTGCAGACTCCAGCATCTCATACACCCGGATGATGTTCTTGTGGTCCAGGGTTCGGACAATCTGGAGCTCCCGAGGCAGGAATCTCTGGATAAACTCTGAGGAAACAAAGAGATGTACATCAAGATCAGAAGGGCCTAACTCCTTACTCCTGACTCTACCCACCATGACTGGGTCTTATTCCTGGGTTAAATAGTCTTAGATGTATCTAGTGGCTTAAACATTGCAAAGTATATTCACTTATTATCTTTTTAATACATTATTCAGAGGAACTACTCTCTGCCAAAGTCAGGGACTACTGTGAGACCACAGATATTAAGCTGCTTTGGGGACTTTAGAGGAAGCCACTGAATCTCAGGAGACCTGATTTGCCCACAGGGTGGAGAACCACCTCCTCCTACCCCTACCTTCTGACCCACAGTTCTTTCCAGAAGCCCAGTCTTCCTTTTTCCAGCCTCCACCTGCCTTGGAACCAGCTCCTGCCCTCTGTTAGCCCTGGCTGTGGCGTCTCCCAGTCTCTGTTCCCCTCCTGGAATAGGAAAAGCCCCAGGACTCTTCACTTTGTGCCAATTTTATCTTGGATTTGAGGTGTGATGTTCTTGGAATCCCAGCATCCCTGTTCCCCACTGACCTATCCCAGGGCCATAATCCTCCTCGGTTCCCCACTAAAAGGGAGGAGGGAGATTTCAGTGACTGGAGGAAGTACCCACCCACCTCAGCCAGCCCTCCCTTGCTCCAAAGGGGCCCCAGCTCACCTTCTGGCCCTCCCATCTTGTCTATAATTTTAATTGCCACTTTTCTTTGGTGTTTTTTGGAAAATGCTTCTTTGACTTTTGAGTAGGTCCCTTCCCCAATGGTCTTGCCCAGCTGGTACCCATTGGAGAGCAGAAAGTCCTCCATGCTGTCTAGCGCCTCCTTCCTTCCTATCACCCTCTCAGCTCATGCTGCCTCTGCGAGGCAGCTCTACTCCACCATCGCCCTTGGCCTGCTCCTTTTCCCCCCAAGGACTTCATCCACAGCCGCCCCCAGCGCTAGAACATTCTCCGTCTGGACACAGCCGCGGGTGGTGGAGAGGGAGAGGGTCAGACATTTTTAAACTACGGACCAATTGTGATGTAAATGCTGTGTGACCCTTGGCCAAAATGGGCAATGGCCCTACCTGCCCTCACCACCACTACCACCAAACCCAACATCGGTTAAGTCGCTGCCACCGCCTTGCCCGCATGCCAGTCAGTGAGTGGCAGCCTGGTCGCGGAGGGCGCCCGGGGCGTCTGCATGGGCCTGGGATGCCCAGCTCCTCCTCGTGGAGGCTGCCTGCCCGTAGGTAGCCCTCGTCGCCTGCGCCCCCACCGGGCCGCCGGGGGTTCTGCGCGACCCCGTTCTCCAAACACCATGATCTTATAGTTCCCCGCTGGGGCCCGAGCTAAGTGCTGGGCGGCCCGGGGCGACAGGGGGTTCTCCGGCGGGAGGAACAGGCTCTGTGAGGTCAGCACGCCACGACCCGGGTCACAATGCAGCCCTCCCCCTCGACGCCCGGCCTCGGGCGCACCGCAGACACCTGCCCGGCTCCCCCTGGACCGGAGCGTCCTCCCGCGGCCAGGGCTCGGGCAGCTGCTTCCAGCCTGGGACCGGCCTCGGTCTCGGCCTCCGGCAGGTGAGCAACGGCCAGGGGGGCGGGAGCGGGCAAGGGGCGCACGGCGGCTCGAGAGCGGCCTGACCACCACTCCCCGCGCAGAGCGCCCCGGGGCCTGGACATGAGTGCCCAGGAGCCGCCCCAGGGTCGGAGATTCCCCATTGAGGCCGGAGACTCCCCTGGCCTTGCCGCCGCCCCCGAGTCCCAGGACAGCCCGGAGCCGGTAGCTACGGAGCACAACCCGGTCAGGTGAGACCGGCGCCGCGCCCCGCCCCGCCCCGCAGCCCCTCCTCCGGGCTCCGCCCTCCGCCGCATTGCCCATCCCCCGGGCCCTGCATCCACGCCCCAACCCCACTGGAGTCGGGGGGTGCCCCAAAGGCGTAGGCAGGGCCTCAGCGCCCCCGGTCTCGCGCCGCTTTCCCCAGGCCGCTTCGACGCTGCCCCGGCTGCCACTGTCTGACGCTGCTACACGTGCCCATCGACGTCTACCTGGCCATGGGCGGGAGCCCCCGGGCCCGCGCCACCTGAGTGCGCCTGCGCAAGGGGGCTCCGCGGGAGCCGGGCGGGACGAGGCCAGCCGCGGGCCACCACGCTGAGGTCGCACGCGCGGAGCACGAGACAATGATGCACATTTTAAAATAAAAGAATGATGCACATTTTAATAAAGCACAGCATAAACTGTTCTTTCCATTCCGGGCTGGCCGTGTATGTCTGTCCATCTGATGGGCTGCTTGCCTCCTCCTGCGGATCTGATCCTAGGGGTCCGCCCTTCCACGTCCGCTTTTTTCTGGCCCGATGCCACCCTTCTCCCTCCATTTCTTGTTGGTCATGTTCCCCAGGGTCCTGTCATCGTCCATCTTTCTATCTCTGTCCTTGGGTCACCAGTGAAATTCAGATTACTACACTGGACGATGGCGACCTACTGAATCCAGGGAGGGACAGGTGGGCAAACGGAACTTAGAAAAAAGACTGGCCACACTAGGCTCATGTCATTCTCCCAAGATGGAATTAGGTTTTGCTGTCTGCCACTTTGTGATCACGGGCACCTCTGGCTCTATTAGAGGGGTTAGGGTCTGACCCAGTTCATTTTGAGTAAGATTCTCCTAGGACTGGCGGGATCACAGAGAGCCTGGGAAAGAGATGGTTTGGAAAACTGATTTCTTCCTTATTTTACAGGTGAAGGAATTGAGTGATGCTGGCACACTCCTCAGTGTTCTCAGGCTAAATGCCTTTTAATCCATCCGTAGGAGGAGCCCATGACACGAAGGCTGCCCAAAGCTGAACAAGTATTTTTATTTGGGGAAAAAAATGTAACCCAAAGATCAGGTTAGTCTGCTGTCCCCAGAGATCTAAGCACAATTGACTCAATAGCCCTCCCCTAGAAGTCCAAGCCTCTCCCAAGAGCACTTCAGATCCCACTTCACCTGAAGGGGACACCCTTCTTGGTTTCCATGCAAAATGCTCTCCCAGGCCCTTCCAAACTGCCATCCCCCAAAGGTGAATCCTTTCCATGCTTCCTTTTTGTTTTCTCATCTTCCTTCTTAAAAAAAAAAAAAAAAAAAAAAAAAAAAACTGTAGTAGTATATAGACAGAATGTCTATTTTTATGTGGCTAAGGATCAAACCCAGTGCCTCACACATGCTAGGCAAGCACTCTGCTACAGCCTTAGCCCTTGCTTACTTCTTTCAACCCCTCTTCTCAATTCTCTTTTCCTTGAAAAACACAGCCAAGTGTAGTGGCACATGCTTGTAATCCCAGCAATTCAGGAGATTGAGGCGAAGGACTTAAAGTTGAAGGGCCAGCCTAAGCAACCTAGTGAGACACCGTCTGAAAAATTAAGCCAAGCATGGTGGCAGGCGCCTGTAATCCCAGTGACTTGGAGGCTGAGGCAGGAGGATCACAAGTTTGAGGCCAGTAGTGAGACCTTAAGCAACATATGGAAACCCTGTCTCAAAAAGTTGAAAAAAGAAAGGCCTAGGGATATGGCTTAGTGGTTAAGTACCCCTGGGTTCAATCCCTGGTACCAAAATAAATAAATAAAAATCTGGGGATGTAACTCAGTAGCAGAGAGCCCCTGGGTTCTGTCAGATCAGATGGGGGAGGCTTTATTGCGATATCACTCCCAGGTGGAACTCCATCAGAGCCACAGAGGGGACAGGGGAAGGGTCTGAGGAGAAACTTTTATGGGGCTTACAGCAGGAAGGGAAGGGCTTGGGACAGGAAAAGGTGTTCTTAGAGTCCCTTGCCCCCTTGGAGTTGGTCAGGGGAGTTGGCTGAACTCCAGGATTGGCCAAGGGGGTCCTGTTGATTGACAGGTGTTAGTCAGGAGATCTGTCCACAGGCATCTGATTGATGTTCTTTTCCGGTGCGGGCTGCTTTGTTCTAAGTTGCCACTAAGTCCCCACCAAGTCGCCACCACCGACCTAACAGGTTCAATCCCCAATACCAAAAAAAAAAAAAGCAAAATATTTACTACTGCTACCTTCCACATGCTTGGTTTGTGAGGGATGTCAAGATTCCAGACACTGATTGACCTTGCCAGTGGTCCAGATCTGGGGGTAGGGATGGGCTAGTTAGTTCTAATATATCCATGAGCAAGGGGAAAGGGGTATTCCAGAAATGGAATGGAGAAAACATTGTGGGCAAAGGCCTAGAGGCAGGAAGGAGAGAGGGTCAAGTTCAAGAAATTCAGTTCAGTGTTCACCAACACCTACCTGGGCCATGCTATGTGCTGAGAGTTCATGCCTCATGCAGGGAATCCAGGGATGGGTTAATGAAGCTGAGTTAGGAGTCCTCCTAATACCAGGCTGAGGAGTTTGAACTTTGATTTGTAGGTGACAGGGAGTATAACAGGCTCCAACCACTTCATTCTCTCATTTATCTTCTCCATGTCCATCTTGTTCTGTTCTTTTTTGCACTGGAAATGTCTCTGGCCTAAACTCTAGTCCTGAATTCGAGACCTGCCTCTGCCACTTACTGACTGTATGAACTTAGACTTCTTTCTAAGCTTCTCTTAGCCTCCATTTCCAAATCTGGAAAATGGGGTTAATGACACCTGCTGCAAAACTTCCATAGGTCATTCTTGTACAGTCCCAGGCAGTACATGAGTAGGCCACAACTGCTGCTGTTCCAACCTTCAACTTCAAGGGGCAACAGAGAGCCAGAAAGCCAAGGACAATGTCTCCAGAGGCTGGGTAGCCAGCCCTGCAGGGGGTTGGGAAAACCCTCTTGCCAACTTCCCTGCAGTTCTGCTATGGAGTCTAAGAATGGGGTGGGGTTGGGGGGCATTTGCAGAAGATTCCCCAGGTGGGAAGGGCAGAGCTGCTTTCTTCACCCTCAGGGGTAAAGCTTTTCCTGGACCCCAGTGCATGACCTCTGGGTCCCAGCCTTTTTCTCTGGGTCTGAGCAATGAGGAGGGACTCGGGGAAGGGATATGTTCAAATCACTTGCTTTCCTGACTTCTGTCTCAGACACCTTATTAGCTGGCCCCTCCCTAAGGAACCCCCTTTTAGAAGGAGGGGGCGAAGTACAGATGGACCCCCCAGGTTACCATAGAAACAGCAGGAAAAGGGTTGCTGTATCGTCATGGTAACAATTGACGTCAGCACTACCCTTTCCTATCGCTTGATACGAGAGGGGGGCAGCCACCCCAACCACAAGCAAATCCCCCACAAAGCCTCCTCCCCATGCTGAGCCAATCAACCAAGGGTCGACAGGCTTAATATAGCACAGAGTTAAAAGCACAGACTCTGATGTCAGTCAAACCTCAGTTCAAATCCTCTCCCAGCCTCATCCTAGCTGTGTGAATTTGAGCAAGTTCCTTAACCCCTTGAAGTCTCATAGGTGCAATGGAGATAAATGAGCCTCCACAGGTTTATGATGAGGATTGCCCGGGGCCACGTAGGTATCAGGTGTGGGGACTAGTCCACAGGAAGGGCACGCAGACATTAGTTTATCATCTTGGGACCTGTCAGGGGTTGTGGTTTCTAAAGGGACCCCAAGGACTGGGCTAGGTTTGAAAATTTCAGGATTTGGGGTATTGTGTTAGAACCAAAGACAGTGGAGTTTCCAGGCTCTCAGGAAACCCCAGATGCCACTTTCCCTGAAACCCCATCATATCCGGGTTCTGACCCAACTTCCTCTTTCTGCTCCCAGCTGTCTTGTACTATGTCTTATCAGCAGCCTTCTACATCTCTTCCTCCCCCCACCCACATTGGTACCAAGAATTGAACCCAGGGACATTTAATCACTGAGCCACATCCCCAGCCCTTTTTATATTTTATTTAGAGACAGAGTCTTGCTAAGTTGCTGAGGCTGGCTTTGAACTCCCAATCCTCCTGCCTCAGCTTCCCAAGCTGCTGGGATTACAGATGTGTGCCAATGAACTAGGCAGCCTTCTCTCTCTCTCTCTCTCTCTCTCTCTCTCTCTCTC